TGTATAAGGAAAGAAGAAGCTTTGGTGGATTTTTAACTCTCTGAATAAATTTGCAGTAACTGCATATTTATCTATTTATTTCACATTTTTCAATATCTCGCTTTTATAGAAATCTTGGAAGACAGAAAGCAAATAGGAAAGTTAGAAAAAATATACAGAGATGGAACACATTATAAATTCAAGAAGTGAAAGGCTTTTTGTTTAATATTCACTGTGTTCTTTCAAAATCTACATTCAAGAAAGAAACCATGTAACTGCATCCTGTGAAACCACTCATGTTCAGCTTTAGCAACACTTCAATACTCTAGGCCTAATTATACTCATATTAAAACCTCATCACAACCAGTGATTTGACAAATTCACTGATATCAGAAGGCTTTGTCTTCAGCCTTCACCATGCAAGAAAAGAGCAATGTCTGTCTCAGGTCCTGTAGCTGCTTTTCCTGATCAAGTTGTCAGAGATAAAGTGCGATTAATTTACTTAATCTGGTGAATTCAGCAATTCTACCCATGGTGCATAAAACCAAATAACCACAAACTGGTGTTGTGATGCAGATAGATAAACCCAAAATATTAGAGAAGGGACAGGTGGCATTTTGGCTGTTAATTTTGAATCGAGGTCTTTACCTGCTAATAAAATTATAACAACTTTATTTTTTTCATCAAATTAGCAAGTTCATCGAATCATTAAAAATCTGTCTGTTCCTTTATAAGTTCAGAGCAGAAAAAAAAAGTCTGAAAGTTTACTTTTGTGTTTTACTTATGGTAGTGGAAAGTTGGCTGATTAGAGACTTCAAAATCAGACATACAAAGGGTAGCTAAATTTAACTGGAAGACTAACTTTTGTAAAAATAATAACTGTCTGCTCCAAAGACTACTGATGTCAGAAAAAGTCTATAACTCTTGTCTCTAATTAAGTTTGTTCGTTAAAAAATATCTCATTACAGACCTGAATCTGAAAGTGCTCAGTGTTTTAGTTTCTAGTAAAGTTCACATAATGTAAAAAATACCTTTACATCTTAATCCAAATTATTAAGGGGAATTTATTAAAATTAGGAAGCTTTTAATCCAATAGACTTACAAGTGACTTCCTAAATAAAGATACCTGGACCTTCTGTAAAACATGCTTTAGAAAAATCCACAGTGTTCTGGTGTGCAACAAAATTACATAATTTTTAATATTTGAATGCAAAAAAGGGCAAGTAATAAAAAATATTATAAGTAAGATCTACGAAATAAGATATATTTGAATAATCTAGTTGCAACTCAGTGTTTATGCAAACTGAAGAATCAGAGTAAGTTCTTTGTCTATTCAAGCACAGACCAGATTAGTACACTGAATATTTCCCAGGTAGAAAAAGTTGAAACTAACCCCTACTTTTCAAGATTTTTCTTGTAGTGACTCCTTAACAACCAACCCTCCAATCCCAAGTGAAAAAAATCAGTTTATAATTATACTTAATACATATTAAGTTTTTATAGTTTCTTGCTAGGATTTTATAAAATTATTTATATTTCTTGGTTTATGTGTGTGACCCTAGCTAAGCATACCACTTTTTGACTAAACAAGAACACAAATTATCCAACCCATTACTACAGAGCTGATATTTTAACAATAATATTAAATGTAACAAATAAGGCGATTGATGTAAACTGACATTTAAAATTGCTTCCCATTTTTTACACTATCATATTTTTTTCATAAACATATCAACTAGTAAGATTAAAGAACCTTAAAATGTGTGTCTTAGGACATGTATTAAGACATGCCAAATTCAAATAGGTTTGGTTCTGTTTGGGGTATTTTTGTGGTGAACAGGTTAATATTTTTCTATTTTCAAGATGTGCAACTGAATTAGCAGCTTAGCAGTGCTACTAATGCTATTGGAGACATTTTTCTATTTGTAATATTGGAATGAGCACTGATACAACCTTACAATTAAATGTAAATTTAAATGCAAGTTACCACCTGACACCAGGTTCTGAGACATTGCTGCAATTATTTACTGACATCTGCTTTAGTTATTGTCATTTTTTAGTGAAGGAAGATTTTATTTCCCAGTTGATATACACTATATTTATTTCTATAAGCAGCAGAAATCAAAATCCCCACTGCAAGAAGTACCCAGGCATACCAGTCATTCCAGACAAAAAAGAAAGGGGTAAGCAAATGTTTAAGTAACTAAATTAACTGTGATCACTATCAGAACTGGACTGTACAAAGCAGCTGTACCAACCTCATTAGAAAGTTTAATATCAGAATGCTCGACAGTTTTTGGGGCAGTCACAGTACCTGACTTGCTTATGAGTCTTTTTAAAGTACTGCAGAAATTTTTACCTCCACACCTCAGGTCACACAGCTTTTTGATGGTCTTTTCAGACCCATGATGTAAAAACCTCATGTAATTGGGCAAGTTGTGGCGAGAGGAAAGTAGTTAAATGGACATGGACACCTAATGCTAAGGGAAGGACATGACCCTCTAGTGATGCTAGTAATGCTTTTCAGGCGTTATGAACCCTAAATTAATTAACAAATGAAGCTTGTGCTATGGAAAAAAAGGGCAAACAGTGTGAATGGCTGATAGATAGGTGAGAATACCAGCCTCAAATATGCTTTCTCCAGTTTCATGAAAAATAGTAACTTAATCAGGCATAAGAAAAAATGGCTGGAATCCCACTGTGTGGAAACATTGTCTAATATCGCACATTGGGCAACAACCTACTGTTTGTAACATTAGTAAGATTTAGAGGAAGATTAAAAAGACAGAAATCTCATTCCTTCAGTGTTGCATTTTCCCTATCTTCAACGTTTCCATTTTACTCAGCTTTAGTCACTGATTGTTCCAGGCAAACCCTTAAGTGGAGAATAATATTTTCAAAGCCACAATGAGAAAGATCATAGGGGATGAGCAGCCTGCAAATACGATGAATAAGAGAACCCAAGCCAAACCACCTCTGCAGCAGACTGCCCAAACTAGCAAACCCGCTTGTGGAAAGACACCAGTTACTGTTCTGGCTGGCAGCCCAGTCCAGCAGATGCTCCCCACCATCCTTGGTGCTGGCTAGCAGCGGTAACTAGCACCCACCTGGCTAGTGGATATGTTCTCAGGTGAGAGGACTTTGCTACCCTTGGAGCACAAGTGCCCTGTGCTGCTCAGTGTTGTGCAGACTGGCCATTTCTATGGTTAGAGCACAGCCAGCCTGGTGTGGCGAGCAGCCAGCGCCGGTCAGAGCCAGTGATCCCCAGTCCATGGGGGGACCTTTGACACACACGGTGGCACCACTGACTTCAGGGTGGTGAAAGTACTTCAAAGATGAGCACTGCAACTCAACAATTCTATAGCAGTGTAAATCAGCATTCACCATCCATCACAGCCACAATACAGGACCTTATTTTGCTGTTTTTCTATTATTAAGTGTGCCCCATTTAAAGTAATATGCAATTAAAATAAACTACAACACGACTCATGACAGAAGAACTGTACAAAACCATCAAAATCCAGTGGCAATGTCCACCTGGCCAGTAATATGTGGCTTGTTAACCTGACCTGGGGAAGCTGGCAGCAGTCCTAGGGGGCCTTGAATCTACCTGAGTAAGGTGGAAACCTCCAGCCCAGACTGATCATCATTGACAAGATTACTTAAATGTTCTCACCACCAAACTTTCAGTGAAGGAGAACTTTTGTGTATTCTCCTCAATTCCTTTGCAAGGATTCATAAGCAAACAGCCTTTGGAAAAATACACCCAAAAGAAGTTTTGGCTGAAATCCATGAACCTTAATTCATTTGCCTTACTGGGTGATTGTACTTATCAAAACACAGCCTTGATGAACTCTTGTAAAAGCAGAAAGGAAGGGAGAGGCTTTCAGGCCGCAGCCTGCTCCTCTTCTCCAGCAAGATTTTGGGGAGACACTACTCAAACTAGGTTTATTTGTTCTGGTGATGGGGCTAAGCCTCTCCCATGTGAAATTTCACTTTTCAATGAAAACTTACTCTGGGAGGAGCATCGCCAATATATTTCTCGTGTGACTCATATGCACAAAACCCAAAAGTCAATAGTCAAGAGTTTATTTGATAAAGGTTTTCTCCTAATTAAGAGGTCATCAAGGGGATCCGACTGTTACTCAGCGCTGAGACGAAGGTCACCAGCAGCTGCTCCAGCCCGGGAGATGTGCCGGCCAGCACATTTTCCAGAAACATGTTTCCTCTCTCGCCAGCGGCCCCTTCCCCCTCCCCGCCACCCCGTTTCTAGTCTCTCCAGCGCTGATGAGCTAATAGCATTTTTCCTTTGCATACTTTGGCGCTGCCCCACGGCATACTCTGGCAGCCTACGTGTGTCTGAGCGCGCCCGCCCGCCGCAGGCTCGGCACGGCTCGGGGCGCGGGGGGAGGCAGGGCAGGGAGGGAGGATGGGGAGCCCCCGCCGCCGCGCCGGCCCCAGCCGCCCCGTTCCCCCGAGCCGGCAGGCTCGGCACGGCTCGGGGCGCGGGGGGAGGCAGGGCAGGGAGGGAGGATGGGGAGCCCCCGCCGCCGCGCCGGCCCCAGCCGCCCCGTCCCCCCGATCCCCCCCGTTCCCGTTCCCCCCGTTCCCGATCCCCCGAGCCGCCCCCGCGCGGGGCGGGCGGGGGGCGGCCGTGGGGGAACTGTCAGGGCCGCACGTTTCCAGCCGCATTACGTGAACAAATGGCGGGGGTGCAGCCAGCCCAGCCAGCGGGGCTTGTGTAACTTTGCGAGCGTGCCAGCAAGTTTAAAGTCCCTGGTCTCTCCTCCTCCTCCTCCTTCCCTCGCTCCAGACACCAGCGCGGGCCGGAGGACGATGAGAGGCTGATTGTTTGCTCCGGCTCCCATTCGCATCCCCTCGCCTATAAATACCGGGGAGAAGAAAAGCCGCTCTCGCCGCCTCCCCCGGGCCGGGTTTCCTTTCCTGCCCGACCTGCCCGATGGCACCTCCCGGGTGCTGCAGCGCCTGAGACCCCGCTGCCCGCCCGACCCTTCCAGAGGCGCAGCCCGCACCCCTCGGCCTCCCCGCACCCCCCGCTCCGTCCGAGCAGGAAAGGCGCCCCTCGCTCTGCTGTCGCCACCCCACCCCTCCCCTCCCGGTTTCGCCCGTATCTCTCTACCCGCCGGCGCCCACGAAAGCGGAGAAGATGCGTTTCGCGCCGCCGGGGCTCCTGCTCGCCCAGCTTCACGCGTGCATCTACTGGAGCTGCCTCTGGCCCGCCGGCTGCCAGCAGCAGCCGCCGCGCCGGGATCCCCCGCCGCCCCCCGCCGCCTGGAGGCAGCGGATCCAGTGGGAGAACAACGGGCAGGTGTACAGCCTGCTCAGCCTGGGCTCCCAGTACCAGCCCCCGCGGCGCAGGCAGGCGGCGGGGGCGGCGGGCAGCCCCATCCTGCTGCTGCGGAACAACGGCACGGGGCGCGCAGCGGAGCCCGGCGGCCGCCACCTCCGCGGCCCGGAGCGCCTCCTCGGGGGCGCCGCGACCCAGCCCCGCCGGCGGCACCGGCACCGACGGCAACGGGAGCAGCACCGGGGCCGGCAGCCTGCCGCCCCTGGGCAGCTTCAGGCCCGGCCGGGAAGATGTCATGGTAGGAGACGACCCCTACAACCCCTACAAGTACACGGACGATAACCCCTACTACAACTACTACGACACCTACGAGAGGCCCCGCCAGGGCAGCAGGTACAGACCCGGCTATGGCACCGGCTACTTCCAGTACGGTAAGAGCCCTCCTTCCCGCCCGTCCCGTCCCTCCGGTGCCGCTGGCTCCCCGCACGCCGGGGCTCGCCGCCCCGCCCGGCCCTCGCTCGGGGCGAAACCTGACCGGGCAGGCGCTCGCCCGGCTCTCGGACCGCGGGCAGCCCAGGCCCCGCGTCCGGGAGAGGGGCGAGCTGCCGATAAGCCCACCGGGGGTCCGGGCGTCGTGTTTGCGGTGGGGTGTTTGGGACAAGCCTGAGCAAAGGGGAAGGCGAGGCTAACGGAGAGCAGGGGTCCGTAGGAAAACGACGGCTTCTAACGACTGGGATGGTAGCCAAATATTTGCAAACGTGTCCTGGGTTGATCTTACTGTTATGTGGTTGGTTTGATGAACTGCAGGTCTCCCTGACTTAGTCCCGGATCCCTATTACATCCAGGCGTCCACATATGTCCAGAGGATGTCCATGTATAACTTGAGATGTGCTGCCGAGGAGAACTGCTTGGCAAGGTAGGCGTCGTGCCCAGATTTTGCCCAGTTGCTGTGGGTTGCGGTGCTCGTGTTTCCACCTGTGAACACGGTGAATAGTGGAGAAGGGTGAGACAGGAGGGCTCACGGAAACACAGCCCTTTGTAACCTTCTTCCAGGTTTGTGGCAGGTGATAGAGTATGCACGTCAGAAAGCAATCCTGCCATATTAGAGAGACAAGCTGCAGATCTCCTGAAGAACCTACACTCTGTGGAAATCTGTATTACATGTTTTTATTGCCAGGCACACGTGAACGTTTCTGAATTTTGTGAAATGAAGGCACCTAGAAAACCACTTCATTCAGTTGATTTTCATCTCCCTCCTGTACTCCCACAAGCACATATGTTACTTCAAAAAAAAAAAAAAAAAAAATCAAAAACTGAACAAAACCTCTATTCTTAACCAGCACAATTTCCTATTAAGATTATAATAAGCTAATTGTTTCTGGGCCTATGCCTTTTAATGTTTCCTAAAACTAAAATCCCTCTGAAAAGTCTTTCAGAGTCTCTTAAGGGGTTGAAATAACAGCTTTGTTATGAAGTTAAGTCTTGTCCAGTTGGCAAAGAGAGATTTTTCCTGTTTTGTTTGGAATGAAATCAACATGGCTGTTTTTAACCATTTTAACTTGTTTGATACCTTATCATGCAAAACAGATTTATTTATTTACCAGCATCATAAATTTATGTTTCAGGGTCATTCCTGCTCTTCACTTGCAGAAAAAGAAATATGACATAGCAGCGGTTTTTTTTGCTAGCTTCACAGTGGAGACTCATTGAAGTGTTCTTGCTGGCTATTGGTTGATTAAAATATTCCAGTATTTAAAAGAGTGTAGATAATAGCTATGTAGAATAGAAAAACACAGCCTGATGCATAAACATATTAGTTAGGTTTTTTTTTTACAATGGAATCAAACATGTGTTGTGTGATCTTGCATACACAGGGAGTTATTTTGGTTAACAGCAACTAATGAAATGATGGTTTTTGGTACCAGAGTAATTTTACAGCTCAGCAGTGATCTTCTTCATAGAGGGAGTCAGTCAGTGGTCAAACTTCCGTTTAAAAAATTAAAACCAGCTCTGAATTTTACTCAGGTCTTGGTCTGACACCAGGCATTTCCACACCCTATGGAATTCCTCTGTGAATCTCCAGTGCATGAGGCGTATGGAGCATGAAAAGATCTCTGGTACCAGTTACTTCTGAGACAATAGAAAGCATTTTTTCAAAATATTTCTTGCATATACTTATGGCTTTTTCCTTTGTTTTCTTTGATTTGTATCATTGCAGTTCAGCTTATCGAGCAGATGTTAGAGACTATGACAATCGGGTGCTCCTGAGGTTCCCCCAAAGAGTGAAAAATCAAGGCACGTCGGATTTTCTGCCCAGCAGACCCCGTTACTCATGGGAGTGGCACAGCTGTCACCAGTGAGTGAAGTGCCCAGTATGGCATCTTCTAATTATGCTTTTCACTAACAATTGTCACTTACAAGAAAACATTTTCTAAAACTAAAGTGAAGTAGAGAGAAACCATGGGGAAACTTTAGCCTTTTACTATCTGATTAATTTTATTAATTACTCTTTGTAGGTAGTGATAATTACTCTTTGCACAGCCACGTGAAGCAAAGATAGATACAAAGCTTATCCATATGTATGAAAGAATGTGCAGATTAAATACAAATACAAGTCTGAAATGAGATTTCACATTAGCACTTTCACATTTTATTTTACATATAGTCCACTTACATTTAAGTGTAATCAGTAAATAAAAGTCCCAACCATATAAAAATAAATAGAAACCCTAAAGTGTACATTTACTAGAATATTCCCTATAATAGCACCCAATCACTTCAAACAGTGATCCATACTTCTTCAGCTGAATTCAATGAGCTTGTTCTTCACAAGAATGGTCTGATCAATATGGAAAAAGAAAGCTACTGAGTTGACTTAGCTTGACTGACTTTATCCCATTATCAATAATATTCTGTACATATGTGATGATATTTTGACATAGCAGCATTGCTCTAGAAATAGTGTATTTGCTGGAAACACAACAAAGGAAATGTTGTGAACAAACAGGTAACACTGCAAACTTGTACCTTTTTGGAAAACTCATGTGCAGAAGTTTGCAGGTTTGTTCCAGTTTTTGCTACTTCTCAGCAGGAGCAGTTATAAGATACTAGAACTAATTACTCAGAATACTTACTTCCACCTTACTTAAAATATGACTCTGATGCTACAGGTAAATACATGATGACTTAATCTCTTCTAAAAATGGTGTGCAACATGGGTTTGGTCTGAAGGCTTCTGAGCCAATGGAATGTTTCCCTCTAGGTGCAGAGGTTTTAGGTATTGAATGAAAAATTAGTATCATTAGAACAAATTCTTTCAAAAAAGACTCATATTATCAGTTTATAAATCTTACATGCATCAAAAAAGCTAATACTGAATCAAACCTAACAAAAAAGCATCCACAAGTCCTTTAGTTAACATCTATCCCTGAAAAAAATCTCCACCAATAACAAATCCCCCAACCCTCATGCCTACAAACTTGATAAATGGATGAAATGGGTAGAGAGCAGTTGAAGTTTTCTATTTGTAGAGCTTACTGTGCCACGACAGCCCAGCTATCACTGTCCAGATGCAAAATGTCTCTGATGTTGATTCAGTTCTTGGACAGAAAATACATTGCCTGCAAAAAAAATGCATCTCTCGTGATCATTTCCATAACAGTGAAGCAAACTCATTTGGAAATGAGCCCTAACTGCCAGTTGCTTTGGCGAGCCATCAGACCTCAGTGTTAGTCATCATCGTCTGAGGATGTGTTCTGGATGTGCCTGCTTGTGTGCTGCTTTGTTTTACCAATACATTTGAGTTTTATTTAATTAGGCCTTTCTCATATACCTCTTGAGCTGATAGCATTCAAAAGTAATGACAGCCAAATCCTGCAAAGACACGGTTTATTTTCCCACACATTGGAAAGGGTGAAATTACAAGAGTACAAGGTGTTAAATCTCCACAGTAAGAGCTAGAAGTCACTTTGTGTGAAAGCAAGAAAAATGCATCACTTTGCCCAAATCAAAAGCATACACACTTCTGAAATAGAGACAGCATTACGTACAGACTGGAAAAATAGCTGATATTGAATTAAATCTGCATTGCCAGTACAGAGAAGCTTTCTTTATACAGATTTTGCCTTCACCAATGTTACAAATGTGTTACATTGGCTGAGGGCCAGGGAAATGTGAAACCAAATTGTTGGGGTTTTGCTAGCAAGTAGCAAACTTCCATGGAATTTATGGTATGTAAGGTAAGCATTCCTAACAAACCCCTGGTTAAAGACACTTATAAGATGTTAAATTCAAATATGAAGTACTAAATACTTGCTATTGTTGTTGGAAAAAAGGTGAAACAGAATTTTGGAAAAACAGTGCTACTATGGAGTCTTTCCCATAACAAATTAAAAACTATTATTTATTTATAGGATGACATGTGGTATTTGAAAATGAGAGTAATGAAAATAATTAGTGGTCAGTAGTAGAAAAGTATACTAACACACAGGTTTTGGGTAGTAAATAAAATTTGTCCAGATTTGACAGGATGTAGATCAAACAGGAATATGTGAAAATGCTATTGATAAGATCTGAGCCATCTCTAATAATGTATCTGTGGTTTAACAGACATTATCACAGCATGGATGAATTCAGCCACTATGACTTGTTGGATGCAAGCTCACATAGAAAAGTTGCTGAGGGACACAAAGCAAGTTTCTGCCTTGAAGATACTTCCTGTGATTATGGATATTACAGGCGGTATGCGTGTACAGCACACACACAGGTAGGAGTTGCTTGGAGACAACCACGTGTTTGTGTTTGGGTAACTTTTCTGCTAATCACCTGATGCCCTAAATTAGCTGATGCCCTAACTAGCTTCTGGAATCCCCGTTACAGAGACCAGGATACTAACCTGGAGATGGTAATTCACCCACCTGCTGTGGGTTTCTTGCTAAAGGGCAGTGACACTCCCTAGCGTAGCACCATTGCTGACTGAACTATATTAAAACACACCACAAGCTCTCGTGGCAGTAGGACTGGTCGGGCTTGCTAAGGGGCACTCCAGACAGCCCATAAAGAAGCTGTTCCCAGTGCTCATCTCCCCAAACTGATGTCACTGGCTGGCGCCAGAGTTCATAGCCGTTGTTTTCTCCCTTGTGAAGTCTGAAGCTGTAAGGGGCTGGATTTTTCTAACACCCGCAGCTGCTGGCTGGCAGCCTGGCACAGTAATCTCAGAGTATTGTTCTGTGCCCGTGCAGCAGGAGGCTGTTAAAGAGAATGGCACCTGCCTGGATGTTATGATGTTATGATGGGCCATGCACAAACGTACAGCCAGGTGCCAGGGGGCCCGTGCAGCAGGAGGCTGTTAAAGAGAATGGCACCTGCCTGGATGTTATGATGGGCCACGCACAAACGTACAGCCAGGTGCCAGGGTAACATGGAAAACGGAACATACCATTATGATAGGCAAATACATGCAAGACTCCTGCCTTGAGTATTGCATCACCACCTCTCAGAACTGCTAAAGAAAAGCTTAAAAAATCCTAACCAGCCAATCCCAGCAGAACTAGGTTGATTAGCAATGTAGTATGGCTAAGAAATTTCATAGACTATTCCATTTGGAAAACCAGAAGTTAGACCAAGATTTGACTGGTGTATTGAAAGAAGAAATTTTTGATATTTACTGACAATAGTTGATGTTTCTGTCAATATATGAACTGAAGACCTGTCAGGCAACAGCTTTAAAACACAGAGGAGTGGTCTTTGGACACATGAATGAAGTATTAAATTCCTTGCCATTAGATGTTGCACAGATCAGAAATCTCCATGGGATCAAGAAGAATTTAGACAAAATAACAGATGTTATTAAACACAAAAATCCCATGCCTTAAATACAGTTAAATGCCTGGTGGAAGGAATTTGCCTGACATTACACATCCCACTCCTTATGCTCTTTTCTTGTTAGGCGTCTGCTGCTGAGCACTGTCAGAGACATGACACTGAGCTTTGCTGGATCTGTGGTTTAACTCAATGTGGCCATACGTACACATAAACCTGTATCCCTTATTCTGCAACTTTTAATCTAGAAGGTAGTTATTCTGTCACAGAGAAATGACAGCCATGTTTCCCTGCTGACTTGTCCACATTTGAATTTTAACTATAATGAATGATCTGCAATATATAGAGGCTTTGAAGAGGTTTTACAAATACTTTTTCTACTTCTGTAGACTATGACATCTAACTAAGCAACATACATATTTTACAGCTGGTGTATTTGTGTCACTAGAATCATGGCTGTGTCAGCATTTCCACTGGAAGCCCATATTTCAGGGGTTTGTAATTGGACTGTAAAACTTTCCTCCAGCCTCAGACTTGGCACAAACACACAAGAGTCTGAGCTGATCACCAGCTGGGTCAAGAGGGAATTCCTGCAGGACTTGGGTTTTCTGCACTCTGAGTGTTGCCAGAACAGATCAGCTCTGCCTAGAGCAATCTGTATTGGCCACAGCTAAAGACACTAGCTTTGAACCGCCAATACATTCATATGTGGGGATTCTTACTCATGTTCCTAACAACAAAGAATTTTTAAGAAAGATGCATCTGGAACAAAGGCTACATTTTCAGTTCCCTCAGATTCTTGTATCACTATTTGCCTGTAGAGACACCATTCCCATGCAAAGCTCAATGTGAAAATGGCCCTTACCCCTACTATTCAAAGATGGCACATTCATAGCAAAAAGTTGCATCTTTCCTAAGGGTAGAGAGAGGTTCCAACATGGTGATCAAGTCTGTCTGTACTCATGACCGCAGAAGATATTCACTCAACATTTATAGATCCTTACCTCCAGTCTGTGGTCAATTTTTATTGTATTCTGATCTTATGTGAAGAACAGGAAATAATATCATCAACAGTTTTTACATAAAAGGAGTACTGTAACAAATGATTATAAGAAAATACAGATACCTCACAGATGAACAACTGTCAATATTGTAGGTGTTTGTTATCCAGTAGTGATAAAGGGCAGTCTAAGTGGTACATTAGACCTAGGTGTTCTAGTTTAGACACACAAGTAAAATGCCAGCTAAAAATAAGATTAATTTTCTAAGTTAATTTTCTCAGTGAACTGTGATAGTTAAGTAACTTCAGTCTGAGTGTCCCTAATGTCTATAATGTCACCGTTTCTAAAGATTAATGTTTTTTCACATCAATCTTTACTTCATTCTTGAGGGTCTGAGCCCTGGCTGCTACGACACTTACAATGCTGACATAGATTGCCAGTGGATTGATATTACTGATGTAAAACCTGGAAATTACATTCTGAAGGTAAGCGTACTGGGAAGGGGGAGGTTTTTTTTTGGAGCTTTTTTTTTTTTTCCTGTTTAATGAAGCAAATCATTTGCATACATGCTTTGGCATATAAGTTACCAGCTGAAGCATGGCAGCAGACAGCAGTGTGCTCTCTCCCCTCCAGGTGAGTGTAAACCCCAGCTACCTGGTGCCTGAATCCGATTACTCCAACAACATCGTCCGCTGCGACATCCGCTACACGGGCCACCACGCCTACGCCTCTGGCTGCACAATTTCACCGTAAGTGCCTCCCCACTGCAGGTTTCTCTGACACTCTGCCCCACTGTCAGGATTTTGTTTTGTGGGAGTCTTAAAATTTGTGGGAATTTTGCTCTGGCACTCATGCCGTTGGAATATGTCACACTTTCCAAAACTGCTGCTCCTGTCTGCTCTGCCAGATAACAACCTTTGGCTCACACACCTTCTTTTGTACTTGCATCAGGACCTTTCTAGAATCATTCAGTGCCCTTTTACAGCACCCACATGCAACTGAGCAGCTATAGTGCTCTTTAACACATCTGCAAAATCCCACACGTGTTACTTTGCTGCTGCTGCTGCCTGCAGAGCAGCCATCCTCCCTGAAACAGTTCTTTCACACATCCTTCATTTACAGTTTTGCTCTTTAAAAGTTTAAGCAACGCCAAAATTGTGCATTTTTTACATTTTTTCCTCCAAAAAGGCAAATTCATTTAATAAATGTCCTCATGGTCTACTGTACCTTAGTATCTGTGAAAACACACAGAGAAAGCAGTCTTCTGTAACACAGAGGTAAGCAGATCTCAGAACACTGTGTAAGTTGCTCACATGAAATATTTATCAAGAGACTTGGCTTGGATTGTATAAGGAGTATTAACATTGTATAGAGCTTCATATTAAACAAATTCCAGAGCAGTCAAGGAAAAACATATGACCAGTGTAGTCTTCTATAACAATATCAGTGAAACAAATAGACTGAATTAATGTGACTTTTTTAATTAGCCTGTAAAATATTCATTTCTCACTTTGCATTAGGAAATCAGTAGTTAAATGAGCCAAACTTACATTTCATGCCTTTAACTTCTATGTTACTGAATACATAGAATAATAGAATAGTTAATGTCAGAAAAGACCTTTTAGATCATAAAGTCCAGCCATCAACCTCAGATCAACACCATGCTTACCATTAAACCATAGTCTCAAGTGCCATATTCACACTGCTTCTGAACACTTCCAGGGATAGCGACCTCACCACTTCCCTGGGTATTCCGCTCTAATGTTTCACAACCCTTTATGTGAAGAAGTTTCCCCTGCTATCCCATCTAAACCTCCTCTTGAGGCCATTTCCTCTCATCCTGTCTCACTGGTTACGTGGGAGAAGAGACCAACCCACACGTCACCACTGCCTCCTCTTGGGGTTTCATAGAGAGTGATGAGATCTCTCCTCAGCCTCCTCCAGGCTAACACCTCATATATATTTTTATAGGTACAAGTATATGTATATATATATATATATACACACACACACACACACACACACATATATATATATTTATGAATGTATGTATTTATGTAGCCCATACTTTATATCTCTCTCAGGTACATGTTCATGCAGGGCTAGGGAACAAAATGTCTGTTACTGTTGGCTGGCTTGTGCTTTCAAGGTGACAAGTGGGTATTCAGCAGTTCCTCTTTCTGTGCGTGCCTGTTCACCTGCATAAAATGATTTATCTTCTTTCAACAGATACTGAGAAAGATGCAAGAAGTGGATGAGATGGTGACAGATGTTTTGAACTGAAGTGTCATTATACAGACTTCACTAGGATGCAAACAGTATAGAAACAAAGCTACAGAACATACACAGATACACCCACACACCTTACGTGACTTTGAAGCACTTCTGCTGCTTCTCAGCCAAAACTTAACTGGATTTTAGGAATCTAAATTGGCATTACTTGTGTTGCTATTGAAATGCGTGAAACTGGTGCTTCATGTAGAGATATTTTAAATTTTTATAATCTAACTCATTCATAAAAACATGGGACCATTTCTTAGCTCCTTCCAATTTGGAGTTTATGTGATAGTAGACTTCAGTGGGAATATTACTGGTGGATGAGTTGAACATATTTAAAAATGTAGAAAAAAATGTATGCAAAATGAATTAAATAAAACTCAAGAGAAAGTACTAATGTCAGCTATCTCAGAAAAGACCATAATGAAAAACAGATTAAGAGTGATAATACAGTACTATTAAAAATTCTTGCTAGGACACATTGATATGAAAGAGAGAAGTATGTTCAGTTTTCAAGGAATATTAACATATAGCAGAGAAATACATATATATTATATATATCAGTTATACCCCCGCAAGAAAAGTTATGTTTACATTTTTAATACATTAGAAGTTTTTCCATTTTCTTAAGTGAAAAACAGATGGGGTTTTGAAATACACCTTTAATCTGTGAAAATTAATTAAACAGCTTGCCCACCTTTATATGTTCAATAAATTTTTCAAAGTGGGACTTTTAAAAAAGTTCCACAAACTTAATGTGGATAAAAGATACCGGTTAAGAAATGGACTCTTGATGAAGAGTCCCTGATGTGGTCATCTATGAAAAACATCCAACTTGAACAGGTTAACCATCAAAATAATACAGGCAATTAACTCAGGTGGCACCACAAACAGAAGTAGGTCAGAATCTCTTACAAAGTATTTTTAGCGTGAACAAAACCTACTACCTGCTTCCCCCTTAAGTACTGTAGTTGACTTTAAAATGTATATCTCAGTATTCAAAATAACAAATTTGAAAATATACTATGTAGAGAGGAAGAGCAAAAATCAGTGTATTTGACATCCTACTTTAGGCTGTTCAGGAACTAAATGCAACATTGTTAAGCGGACAAACTTCCAGCCCAAATTAAGGTTTTTGCTGAACTGCTTAACTGGTGCTGGGTGTACTACTCCTCCTCCCATCCCCAAATTATTTTGCTTTTGCAGTGCACCCTGCTGTAAGCTACAGTAGCTGTGATTTTTGTTTTAAACTGTGAAATGACATATCACAAGGGGATCTGGCTTTTTTTTTTTTTCAGAAGATTTCTGATCATGTAAAATGAAGAATCTACTTTTGGAGCAATGGGACCTAGAAATATTGATTGGTGTTCATTAATTTTATCAGCAGTTCAAAATACCTAATGAAATATTGGAAGCTCAATAAATTAAAAAAAAAATAGAAAAAAATGTGCTATTCAATATAGTTAAAAATTAAAAATCTGAGGAGTATGGAGAGGTTTTATTATCACTATTGAGAATACTTCAGGTAGTATCTGGAAATATTTTATACTTTGGGACCCTATGGATTTAATTTGGAATTTTGATGAATTACCATAATATCCTTCACAGATCAGCTGTTCTTTAGTATATTAATTTATTTCCACCTTAATCATAACTTGGTTACAAATTTGCACAATCAGAACTTAAAAGGAGCCTGAGAACGAGCAGCCTGGTGATGTCCACCCACCAGTGGGAGAGGGTGCGGAATAATTTAATTTACACCTGCAGGTCCCTTCCTGTTTGCTGCAAGATCTATTTTGGCAATCTGTAACTAGTACGGGCAATGAACAGAAGCAAAATTTGGAAACTTGATTTATGAGAAGACCATTTGTTACACATGTGTGCAAAAACGAGGGTCTGTTTAAAGTCTAGGCTTCTGAAATCTCAGCCCAGAGTTCTTAGGTTTAAGAGGTGGTAAGGGATGCAAGCGCATTCACCTTTCTACAGACTTAGGTCAAAACTGGGGTCAAAGTCCTGAGAGCAGCTTGGGCAATGGACACAAAAGCTACTGAATGGAAGCCAGGCTGTGGGCACGGGCTGCTTCCTGGGAAGAGGTGGTGCGCTCGTACCTCATGGTGCCTGATGCTGAATGTGGGATATGAGAGCACTAACTGGAGCCGGAGCAGCCGCGGGAAGGGGGGTACCCTCGCGCGTGACACACTCACCTGCTCTCACGTCTGTGCCCAAACTACTTGCAGAACTCCACTGAAGTCAGCAAGGAGCCAGAGGGGCCTTGAGCATCTGTGTGGGTGGAACAAGTGGGAATGGCCTCGTTTGGAAAGGTGTTGAATGCTGTAACTTTGAATATTGGGGATACTGGAGCTACAAAAATGTAGCTTTTTTTTCCGTAGCAAAATATTGTATTTGTTTTGAAATGTGTGTTAAGCGACATGACATTGATGTACAATAGCACAAAAAATTGCCTAAAACATGAACAAAAAACCAAGGGATTTTAGGATTAAAAAAAATGAAGGAATGTGACTTCAACCCTGTCTAACTATAGTCAATCACAATGCAGTTAGAAGTAGAAGAGTTTATTATATAGCATGTGTAGAAATAGTTCTAACTAGGGGAGCACCACCCAATATTTTCAGTATCTTGGCTCTGCAGATTTGACACCTTATTTTTTGTGTACTGGAATATGTTTTTGGGATTATGTGCATTTTTAGAAACTGTTTTGGAAAGTTTTTATTTTTACAGCAAATTGTATTTGGAGTCCATTTTACCAGACATCAGGCTTATTCCCTTATCTTTGAAATGTATTGACATTGGTCTCAGTGGGAGCAAAACCAGATTTAAATTTTGTGGGATTTCTACTACAAATTTGCTGTCTTGCAGTCTCAAATTTCTTCTGAAAAGCCAGAATGTGTAAGTGTGTGTGAAACAATAACCTCCCACACTTCAAATCTTTACTTATGAATTGCACATAAGGAACATAATGTATGTCAGGCTCATTAGAGGAAGGGTTTGTTATATATATTTTTTTTTTAATCCTGAAATACATTTGGTATTTGTGTATTTCTAGATAAAAGTGTAACAAAAATGACAGACTGGTCACCAATGGAACCAAAACATTGTGTAGATGATGTTTTTGTGTTAGGAAAAGTCTACTCGGTTTTTTCTGCTCCAGAATGAATGCACATATCAAATGTATCTTCCTGTTGTCATTCATGCATTGTTTGCAGTGTGCTCATTCAAAACCAGCAGGGTGGTTTTCATAAATGAGACACTGAAAGGTGGTTTATCCTGTGTCTCACATTTATGCCAAAAAGGCATTTTCATTTTCTCCAAATCCTAAAAGGTGCTGAAAGATTTTTAACTTGAATTAAAACCAAAGAGTATGTAATTGGGAGGTTTTTATTATGCAACTAAATGCTACAGATACAGTGAAATGCCACTTATTTTTTGCAACTTTCTTGAAGACTTTTCATTATTTCCCTCACTTTTCTTCAAAGAGTCTTAATTTCAATAACTTTGCATCTTTATCTGAAGAGCTCTAATTTATAATATTCAGGCACTAGCTTTGTATTCTTCACTGCACTTTCATATTTTTGTGTTACCTGCCCGTATTATGGTTGCAAGTTTATGTGAAAATGACTTGAATAAAATGTTTCAAGCGTTCTACTTGTCGAAGTATTACAGTATTACTTACTGCACAGGCCACATCCATCCCTCAGTGAGAAGGCTTCAGTTGAGCTTGTTATGTCGACATGAAAATGAAGAAAATTCTGTCTTGCTGACAGTCTCAGAAAAAATGTGACAAGAAGGTAGAAACAAAAAAAATTCAAGGCACGATAAATTACCCCCCACACTACACAAAGGATTAACATGTCAAGGCTTAACAGGAGGAGGCATATGGTTCATCTGGACACGCAATTTCCCTACCACATCGGTCTTGGTGAAAACAGGAACTTAAAAAGCACTTTCAGAATTTCTGCTCCAAAAACTATGCTTTCACAGAAAGAGCATTTGAGCAGCACATGGTAGGAAGTCTATGTACTCTAGAAAACTGACTAACAGATTAAACATGCAGTTACTCCAAACACATTTTATCCTGTTTTTTACATCCTCTGAGTTCAAGCCAGTGTCCTGCTGCCTCTTCAATCTGTATGCTAAACTGATGAAACAGTCTGAGTTGTGAAGCATCTTCTTGTCCCTTCACTGAGGGACTACTACAGAAGAGAATAGTTAAAAAGAGACTTGGAGTCTAAATAGTTTAACTTAATAGTTAAAAAGAGTCTTACTGGAGACTTGTTTCAGTAAGAAGTCACCAAACACATAAATATCAACTAACTGGCACACTTGGCTTCAAGTAAATGGAGACAAAACTGATGTAATATCTTTTAAAATTCATAAAGGTAGAATTATTTCAGATATAACCCACTTTGTGTAATGTTTCTCTATTTAAAAAGTATTTTCTATCCTCCTACTTGTTAGAGCTAAGAGCTTCAAACTGAGAATTTCTGCAAGTGCTATTCCCAGAGCACAGAACCTGGAGTGGATCAGCTTCTGTGCAAATACAAAAATTTGCAGAAAGCATATTAAAATCTATTAAAAATAAAGTATCTCCTAATTTCCACATGCCTTCTACCCCCATTCTGCTCTCATTTTTACATTAGACCACCTGCCTAGTATCACAAAATGATCTACCACCAGTAGATCTACCACCACTCACAAAACAGCTCCAGAAAGTATTGATGTAACCAAATTTTCATCCAAGCCTCATTTTTTTTTGATCTAACTATTCCATAAAAACTGATTAAATAAATATTTATGCCTGTTTGGAAGTCTACAAAATGGTCCCATCAATAATACACCTCTTTGCTATTAACAAAAAACAACAATCACATTTAAATTAGTGATGACTGTCTTAAGAGATACTGAAAAATCTGAGATTGATTTGTTGGTAAGCATGAAGTGAAAAAATTGTGCACCTGAAGCAGCCTAGTAGTATCTGACAGTACGTACCTGGCTAAGGACATTTCTTCTATGGTATGGTATTGACCTGAAAAGCATGGTTCCCAACATTTTAAAATCTAATCATTACAGAAAGAAATAACTATAAAAATGTCACTATAAAAATAAATTGCTAGTACTTTGTGAGAGGTCTCTGTCTAAACAGCGCCACTGATATGATGTAAGTTAAAATCACATATATGCTGAAAATGTTGTTATAAAAATGTGCTAAACTTTATCAACAACCTCCAGGGTATTGACCTGAAAAGCATGGTTCCCAACATTTTAAAATCTAATCATTACAGAAAGAAATAACTATAAAAATGTCACTATAAAAATAAATTGCTAGTACTTTGTGAGAGGTCTCTGTCTAAACAGCGCCACTGATATGATGTAAGTTAAAATCACATATATGCTGAAAATGTTGTTATAAAAATGTGCTAAACTTTATCAACAACCTTTATCAACAAGCTCACTGGGTTTATCAGTTCATACACAAATTGCCCAGTAACATGTAAAAGACATTATCAGCTCTCCACCATCACTACTAATTTGTATAATATATTAAGACTGTGATCCAGGTGAGTCACTAAGCACCAGTAGAAAGTAGCAGTAACCCATTAAAACATGAAGTAATGCCGGTATCCTAATCTATTTTCTCTCATTCATGTTCAGAGTATGTTATCTGTTTTATTTCCTTTAAAGTAAGAGCTCAGAATATTTTTGAAGGAAAAAAAAAAAAAAGAGATGTTTTGATAAGTCAGGCTTCCTTCAGGGAGAATTCTGTGGCCACAAATTACAGCTGTAATAATTCAGTAAGAAACTTGCTCTAATGCCAAGATAAACCAATGCTCCTATATCTTTTAAGCACATGCAAAAAAACCATTTTAGAACATTGGCTCCTTAAAGTCTTGAGTTTTTTTTCAAGCTATTTGCAATCTTTAAGTTTTTGATCCTTAAATAGGGTACTCATCTGCTAAAAGTAAGCTAAGTAGTCCATGTTACAACTGATGACACCTACCAAGACATTTCTCGTGCCTTACACTGGAAGCAGAGAAGTCACATACCAAACCTTTGTTTGTTGTGGCACTCATCTAGGATTTATTTACTTGTTGTATTTAAAGCTTTAATTTGCATCTGAAAATCCTGAAGTTTGTAGAAAGCAGGTAAATGCGTGGCTTTTTCTGTGAAATATAACCTTACAAAACCACAGTAAACATTTTTCTATGCTTCATTTTGCAAGTTTTGGCCTTCAATACTGTTCCATATGGTACAGTGAAAATAACAGCAACAAAACCACTTTGAAATGGAAGATGGTTTGAATTTCTCACTCCTCTGGGAGGCAATGACATTAAAGACAGTATTACATATACTGACATTTGTTCAGTACATAGAAAAGAAAGCCTAACTAGTGAGGCAAACCATGCCTAAATATTAATCCAGAACAGACCAACTTGAAGGTTTTGTCCTCAAGAACTTAACACAAGATGGGATGTGTATAATGTAGCATTATCTGTGCTTAGTCCAGGGCAAGGATCCTCATACTGCTGGCAACATTTTCTAATACAGCCCAGGAGGCAAAGAAAAACACTAGGCTTTTTCAGACTGCAGTATGTAGGAATATGTCATCTACGCCTTTAAGGATGACATACTCTACAAGTTTCCAGGGATGTAAGAGCAGACAAATCTGAAGAAAGGAAATTGATTGATCAAGGATTATTAAACTCCATAAGCTACAATATCACAAGATGTCACTGCGCTGTGAAACTGGAAGCTTGAAGAGATGGATGTTGCATGATGTATCACTGTGTGCTCCTTCTGTTCTTAAAGCATCCTTTTTTAACTAGTTTCAAACATACTAGGTTAGATGGGCCTTTGAGGTGATGCAGGGCTTTCCTCAGGCATCTTAAAATGCTACATGAATAGTACAGTCCAGTCATTTACCAAGTTTATGAATTAATTTGATTATGAAAGGTAACTATATTTAAATAAACAACACTATTAAAGATTAATTACATGTTCAGAATTTCCTTCAATTAGGTAATAGAAAAAGCACTTGAAGTATTCAATTAACTTTTTTTGTCATATTCTAATCAGAAGAACTCCCAGTGTCAGACTGGCACTTAAAAGTCAAATGCTTCTTAATGTACAAAGTTTCTTCACATTTCCACATTCTTTCAGAAAGTGGAAGACACACATGTTGAAAAATCCAGACGTAACTACCAGAACAAAGTATTAAAGACACCTCTTAATTTCTTCAAATTGGCAGTATAATCAGAGGACAGAGATCACAACTTAAAAGCACAATATTTTATTCTCTACAGAAATTTTCATATTATGCTCAAAATGGATTGACTTTTCCAGCTACATGATACACTGATAAATTTATAAATTTAAATTTTAAGAATCTTTTACTTTGTCTGGGTTGAGATATGACAACCTTTCTTCTGACAATCAAGTTCTCATATAAAGCACATTTTTTTAAATAAAAAAAACAAACCCTTCCAAACTCCTCTCCAAAGAATCTATACTATTTCTACAGGGCACAAATTATGCTCCTAAAAACCCTTTATTCACGTCAGGGTATATTTCATGAATGGTGGTACTGCATAATGGGACTTATGAACCAAATGGCCATTACATTAATCACCAGACAGCACGAAGAATGAATGAAACAATCTTGATATTCTATGATGGTAAATAATAGTTGCAATTTTGGAAGTTGCAAAGGATATGGACAGTATAACAACGATGTTCAAATAGTAGCTGCAAAAAAATTTTTCTTAGAACCCCCATTTACATATAGTCTAGTCATCAAATTTAATCTTTTTCCCCTGGAATGCTGTAATTTGAGACATTTGCTCTCTGCGTTTCCTGCTTGCTTCCCATGAAGGATGAAGAGGCTGCTCCAAAGATGCTTTCTTATTGTTGCATTTAATATCCCCTGAAGCTTTTGCAAATGGCTTCTTCTTAAGCTTTGTTTCATTTTTAAGAAAACCTGCGCAAGTAAAAAACAAAACATTAACCACATCAGGAACCTTCATAAAAGTACCCCAAATCCCTTGGGATTGCAGATATTTTCAAAAATTTCATAATGAGACATGGGGAACACCGTTATCTGAATATTCACAGCAAGATTTCTTCATCTTGCAGCCTGGTAAGTTGCCACTCAGTAGGCTGCAGATAGTTAAGATTTATTAATACTGACTAAACTCTAAATTTGTGTAGACAAGCATTCAGCACAGTGCAAACTTTTTTCTTCACAATAAACCAATGACTGTTACACAATGTAACTCAGTATGACTGGAATTATAACCTCAGTCTAATGAACTTCAAAATGGTACCACAGAATATAAACTGAATAAAATATTCCACATTCAGGAGCTATGGAAGAAATTTCTTGAGATAAGGAACTAGATATATATAACAACCTGGTACCTTTACCTGTGCATAAGTAATGCTAACTGCTTGACAGACAGAAAAGCATTTCCAGTGTTAAGTATTTCTAATATGAGAAAATAGAAAATAGCAGACAATATCTACATATTAAAATGAAAGCTAAGCAGTTTGACCATTTTAACAACAAATGTTAAAATATGTGCCACAAACTTGAAAAGAAACAAATACATCCCATCATGAATAGACTGCAGAGGCAACAAAATTTCAAAATGTTTTTTCTCTCCTAATTTTACCTGGTAAAGTAATACATACCTGTTCTTTCCTTTTTGAGAGGCTGGTGTTTAGTATTTCTAAAAAACAAAAAGAGAAATTAAGATTTTTCAATAAAATTGTAAGATTACAAATACCTGTGAATAAAGAATCATCATCACCAAAACACTCATGGAGTAACTTCAAATGTAACATGTGAGCTTCTTCAATAGTGCTCCACCCATGTTAATAAAGAAGTAGAAAGAGAAATATTCAGAAGTGATTGAATTTGGGTTTAGCTCTAGTTAGGAATCCTATGCATAAATCAGTGCTATTGTGAATATAAAAAATTGTCAAGAAAGCTTAAGAAGACTAGTGAGTAGTTTCTGTGAAAATGTTTTGAGGTTTGATGGGCTGAAATTCTCTTTGTTTAATAAGGATTACTAGAAATTACAACTAGAAATCACATTTCCATTGCCATGAAGGAGGGAAGGAATGGAAAACATAACATGGGGAAGAGGTTTACCTTCTGTTCTGAGATTTCTGATTGGTGGTAGACAAAGAACTGCAGAACACTGACTCCAGCTTGCTTGCTTTTGCAAGTGACTTCTTCTCTTCCATGATCAAATCCTCTGCTGTCCCAGTCTCTGTACTCTTCTCTGTTTTCATTACTTTTTTCTGAACACTACCCTTTTCTTTTGTTGAAGAAAAACTATTAACTGCTGCTACTTTTTTCTTCTTTTTTACTTTTCCAATGAAGAAATCATCATTGCTGTCACTGTCAGAATCTGATGATTCATTGTAAAACCTCTCTTCAGTACTATCATCAAAGTATTCCTTTTCATGCTCTTGGTCACTATCATCAATTCTTTCTTTTATTGCATTTAACTTGTTCATACTCATATTTTCTTTCCTTTTTTGATAGTCAAGTTTCTTTTCTGTTTTGTTTTGAGTAACTGTTTGCATTTCTACTGCCTGAAATGAAGGTGTTTCTGGAGCATACACTCTCTCCATTTCCACAGTTTTCTGCTCAGATTCACTCTCACAGAGCTCTTCAACCACTTTGTCAGTTTCTACTTTCATGCCTGGTTTTGTTTTGTGTTCATATCCTTGCTGTTTTTGAGGCCGCTTACAAGCTTGGTCATCCAAGTTGTTATTGGAATGTTGTGCTGATTTAGGCTGTTCTTCTGACTGATCCTTTTTCACAGGAGTGGCTTTGTCTGGGTTCTTCCTTGCATCCTTAAAAGCTTTAACAGCAGCTGTACAAGGGGCAGAAAAATATTTTGTTGCAGCTACATATGAATTATTTTTATATAATAAAACATTTTTGCAACTTATATGTGTTGTATTGAGCATATTTTGAATGTCCTTGTGAAATATAAAGTATTTACATGGGACAAGAGATATCTTAGAATGCAGTAGCAACGAAAGTGAAGGAAAAACACTGAAAATATGATCAATAAATACACTATGAAATTTGGGTTAAACCATGAACTTCTCTTTCAAAAATAATCTGCAGCTGATAATCGTGCTCACTTAGTGTACACTTGTACACACATGTACACTTTGTGTGTAAAATTGCAAACTGATATTAATTTGTTCCTATAAAATTAAATGGGTATTTGGTATGCTCTGTTATTAATGAAGTAACCTTATGACAGTACTACTAAGACTTTACCCATCTTAGCATTAATTTTAGGTGGAAAATTCCAGTTTCAAGAGAGTAAGAGAAATCCTAAATAACCAGGAAAGATACCCTAAGGATTCTGAAGACAGTTTTCAGGGAAAATTAAGAAAGTGATTTGTAAAACCTTTTAGGTGCCTTTGAAAATCCAATTGTAATGATCCATTTATGTTCCTATTTAATTCAGAAACATTCCATTACATCTACTGGATTTTTAGAATTCCCATTATGAGCTCTGTTTGTTCAATACCCTATATTAAATAAATGTTGTATTGCATACAGTCACATATAAATTTCAACCCATACAGATGGTTTGAAGTTTGTGGCTTGGTTCACTGCAGCTAGTTAGGCTAATTACACAACCTTTTGGTTTTTGTGGGTTTTCTACTTTTGTTCGTGTCAGAAATATAAATGAACAAGGTAACACACAAGTAAGCTACAGATAAAATAAAAAATTCAATAAAATGTTTCATACCTTTAAGTTCAACAAATCTGGGCTTCAAGGTGGGGTGTGTTGCAAGTCTTGCCATGGCTCGCTCAGCTGCAGTACAGTTTGGCTGCACAAGAAAAATTCAAGGGCATGAAGTCACCAGAACAGTCAACTTACACAGGTCTGTATCAGTTATGCTACAATGCATACTAATGTGATTCTCACCAGGAACTGAAGAAGAAAGCTTATGACACTAACAAGTATTTTATTTTTCATGTATTACTGTCATGCTAAATGCATTAAAATCTGCCTGCCTAAACATTGACAGAAATGTAGCAGATATCACACAACACATGATATTTCTCAGGTACTGAATAGGGATAACATGACTTATGTCTTCTTTAAAGCCTAAGAGATGCATTGTTCTCTGATTTTATATTTACTATTTCATACAAGAGCAAAGAAAGTTAATGAACTCACTGAATAAAGAACATCATACTGGTAGAAGGCATTCTGCTTGAAGGAATGCAATAGGTTGCAAGAATCCCATAAAAGTTGGCAAAATGACATAGCAGATATTGAAGGAATACATGTAAACTATTGAAAGGCAAGGTCTAACTTGACCATAAAGACAAATAACCTTAAATTTGATGTGGCAGAATACTGGAACTCTGCAAACTGATTCAAAGAAGAAATATGATCTTGCTTCAATTAAAAAGAGAAAAGAAGGAATTGTTTCTATTCTGACTTCCTCTTTTTGATACTGGAAATCACACGTATGACACATTGTAAAAGCTCTTGTTTTCAGGTTCTTGTCATCACTCCGCTTGAAAAATAAAATGAATGGTATCTAAGACTTTTTCAAATACAGTCCTGTCTTCTGTTCAGTTTTTTTTTTCTGTGTGATTGTTTGTTTGTTTCCTTTTTTCTTATCTTCTTTATTGAAAAAAGGAAAAGCAGGTCCAACAGATTTGTAAAGCACACCTTTATCAGGAAGATTTCTTAAAGCCTGCAGTAGAATTCTCTGGGAGAGAGTGGAAAAGACATACAAAAAGACATACCTTTCTCTCTTCCTCCCAGTGGTACTGCAGTGGATACAAATTGTTTCTGTGATTTCACCTTTGTGCTATGGAAATATCACAGCAGAAGCCACCAGAATCAACAGAGGATGATACTCATAAAGAACCAAACAAGTGCCCTGTGACCAAACCTGAGCTGATTTTGGTGGCACCAACTCAACAGAGCATGCTGCCTCTCCTGTCCTAAGCAATCACCAGAGCAAATGCAGCCCAAGCCCCAGGTGTTACCTGGTAGACAACAAGGAGTAGAAGTGGTACTGGCTCTCTCCTGGGATGGAGTTAACATGCTTCATAGTAGACATGATGGTGCTGTGTTTTGGATTTGTGACTAAAACATTTTAGAGTTGGTAAAACATCAGTGTTTTAGTTACTGCTGGGCAGTGCTTGCACAGCATCAAGGTCTTCTCTGTTTCTTGCTCTGCCCCTACCATAGGCAAGGAATATCCCGGTACAGCTGATCCACATGGACCAAAAGGATATAAAGTCCTTTTCAAGTCATGTTAAACAATAAAAGCTTGAGGTAACAAAAAAGTCTGGGGAGATGTTTGTGGTTATCACGTTTATCCTCCCAAGAAACCATTATGTGAAGTGAAGCTCTACTCTCTGGGATGTGGCTAAACATCTGTCTGGTGATGGGAACTGGTGAATAAATTCCTTCTTATCCTTTTCTTGCACAAACAGATTTGATTTCCTCCTTAAATTATCTTTATATCTTGAGATAGAAGTTTTTCTGATTTCTCCTCTTGGGATGCACTCCCCATCCCACAGGGGCAGGGTGAGTGAGCAGCTGCTGGGTGCTTAGCTGCTGGCTGGGGTCAAACCCCCATGACACACATGATACCCAACACATCAGCAAGTCACACCTAAGCAGCTAATGTGATCCACATAAGACTGCTCAGTGGTGAATGTCACTTGTTTGCATGTCCCTTTTCTTCCAGCAGAACCATGTGTCTAGAAACAGTTATATATCCAGTGCACAGGTCTGAAGGAAACAGAGCAAAAGAAGGCACTACAAATAAACCAGAGTCAATACTTCTAAATGCAGAAACATTTAATTGGTTTGCCAGCCATAAATCTTCTTCCTCAACCAGTGGAAAGCAAATCCCATTTTGTAATTCTTCTCCCCTAGTTTTAGAGCTTATAAAATATACTCTGTGGTCAGCCATATTTCAAGTTTGAAGTGTAGAGCATCTGGGAATTCTAGTACTTTCCTTCCCCCTCAAGTCTCTGCTACTACAACATTATTTCTTCAGGTCAAGAAAAACTGGAAAATTGTTCTCCCTGAAGTCTGTCTACAGAACTATGAACACTGGCCAGAGGAGACAGGTCAAACGATGGGTCCATTTCCAAGGGCCACAGATTGGCTTATTTCCAGGCTAGTTTAGTTTAGCTCTAAGAACTTGACATCTGAATTTTGATCCCCATGTGACAGTGCTGCATGCTGCCACCAGATTCTTGGGACAGAAAACTCACATTTCTGAAGATCATATGCTATTTTCTTTGGAGATTATTCTATAGCTGGAAAATCTATTTCTGAACTTAATTAATATAGTTTTCCCCTCAGCTACTTCCTGTGGGTTTTGAAAGAATATACTATGACGTTCAGAAAGCAGCAGCAGCTTCTGTGCAACATCTGGTGTCTTTTAGTTCAAGTATTTATAGAAAGGCTTTAAGCATATATAGGACAATCCATATGGAATAACCACATTTTTTTCCTTAAGAGTAAAATACTTCACAAACACTACTCAGAGTGATAGCCACCAACTAACAAACACACGATATTCACATTCCCTCAAATTTCTCATTTTTCTGTATACGGATTTTTTGGTTTTGCTTTGGTTTGGGGTATTTTTGGCAAAACCCATGCTCACTTTATTTTCCCTCAAATATTTTCCAGTATATAAAATGTTTTAGAAATATAGACAATATAGAAAAAGACTTAACAAAGAAATGCCAACTGTCTTTACAATCAAGAACACTTTCCCCACTCCTTCCTATCCCTTGGATGTATAATTAGATACTAAAATTGTACATCTTTATCCTGACATAATTCTGCTACTTCTTGTATTATTTTGCACTACTTTTACACAAGAATGTGCTAGTACTTTCTACAGGAACGTTCTTCGTCCTTCAGTGTGCAACTGAGGCACTGGAAAGTGAACAAAGCTACAAAGCAGTGCATAGTCACACTTTGCAGTGAGAAATTTTAAGTTATGTGCTGATTGAGGCTGAGGTAGAGCTAATTTCCTTCACAGGGGCTGGCATGGGGCTGTGCTTGGGATTTGTGATGGACACAGGGTTGATGATACAGAGATGTTTTGTTATTTTTGAGCAGGGCTTACACAGATTCAAGGCCTTTTCTTCTTTAGTACTCCCATGTTGGTGAGGAAATTGGGGTGCCTGGGAGGTTGGGGGGAGATACGGCTGGGAGAGGTGGCCCCAGCTGACCAAAGGGATATTCCAGACCATGTGACATCATGCTCAGTACATGAAGGGGGGCAAAAGGAGGAATGGGGGGGACATTTGGAGTGGTGTTTGTTTTTCCAAGTCACTGTCACTGTTTGATAGGGCCCTGCTCTCCTAGAGATGGCTGAACATCTGCCTGGCATAGGAAGCACTGACTTCATTCCTTGTTTTGCTTTCCTATTGTGCACAGCTTTTGATTTCTCTATTAAATGGTCTTTATCTCAGCCTGTGAGTTGTCTAGCTTTTATCGTTCCAATTCTCTCCCTGATCCTGCTGGTGCAGGAGTGAGTGAGCAGCGGCCTGGCACTTGCTGTTGGCTACAGTTAAACCACCTGAAGACAGTCACCTCTAAAATTCTATCTTGGTAAATAACGTGTTATTTATGTAAATAATATTAAAAACATCTATTATCAAACACACATGTAAACCCCACACAAGAAAGACAATCTTGGCAAATAGTGGCAATGACTGTGAAGAGAATGAACGTTACAAACTTGCGAAGATAAAAGCAGATTCTCAGTGCAAGTTTTGAGATGGGTTGGAACAGGTCAGAAGTTTGGAATGGCTCTGAGAGCTGGCACCACAGGGTAAAAAGAAGGAGCAGTGTGATGTAAACATCAGGCATAAGCAGTGTGGGTAGAACTTGTTTCATACCATGCAGGTAATAAAGTGAGAATGAGAAAGTGAGTGTTTCAAGGCAGATGGGATTGCAGGAGCTGAATGGTATGCCTCGGTAGTAAGTCTGAGACAGTAGAGCTTCAGGATGAATTAAAGGGCAGAACCCATGATTAATCCAAGAATATGAAGTGTAGACTTTTGACCATTGTTGTATTCTGAATAATCTTTCTGTTCCAAGACTTTTGTCTGTACCCTCTCTGCTATAGTTATAATCAGTAACAGGAAAAAGGTCATATTCTGTTCTTCAACTGACTTTTGCACAGAAAGAGAACTGCCTCACTACAGATCTCATCAGAAACAAGACTATTATTAGAAGCATATACTACTATAAGGACAACAACTACAGTTTCACCTGGGCGAGAGTGCTACTAAACTGGTAATGCTTTGTGGCTCTGCATCTGTCATTAGTCAGCTATTTAAAACAACGATATTCAAATGGAGACAGTAAGAAACGCCACTGGGAAGTAAACAGTACATGGAAAAAACACGATACAGAAACCAACATTGGAGAATGTGATACTAGTTTTTAAACTACCTAGAAGTGCAGTTTAATTTCAGATGTTAACAACACCCTGAATTTAAGAAGGAGGTAAAAAAAAGAGTCAATACTAACTAGAGTAAGCATAAAAAAGGTTAACATCCAATTCGGGGCCAAAGAAGACGTCATTGCAATACCCTTTATTAGCAGCTTGGGAGAAGACCTCTCTATTAAAAAATAGCAAAAACTGACCAAACAACTAGAAACTACACATTCTTTACAAAACTCTAACTAGTTACAGCTGTCCTTCATAACAGCAGATGTGATTAATGTGAAGTCACAGGGTGGTTCAAGGTGCCAAATCATGGCTGCCACCCAAGTCTACACCATGACCTCATACTGCTTTGGAACAAGACTTGAAAGAAG